AACCAAAACCTATAAGCCACTTGTAGGAGACTCTGGGGTGAGTTAAGGCAGATTTCAGACAGCAGCGGTGCACTGAGTGCTGCCCTTCCCCCAGTTCCCTCCTCCCTTCTGCATCCCAACCTCTTCCATGTTCATGCAGGAGCAGAGCGCGGGGGGAGCAGTGGCACGAAGGGGTGAAGGGATGTCCATAGGAGCAAGCCCCATAACCGATACCCCTCCAGACTATGCTGGCAGGCTGGCTCGTCATTCCCCAGCAGCTGGTTGTCTCCTTGCTGAAGCCTCTCTGCAAACGTAGGCAGAAAAAGCTGTGCTAGATCTCCTTATGATTTTTATGTGAAAGTTTGGGAAAACTTGATTTTTCTCTACTTAGCATAAGTTTGGAATGTGTGTGTATGCTGGTTTGGGGTTTTGGGTCTTGATATATTCGCTTAAACTGGACGTCTGACAGTTATTTGAGAGTTAATCGAGGGTTCTCATGTTAGGTCCAAATAAAGTAATCTCAGGCCCTCTGTAAAAGGAATAAAACCTCAGCCTTCAGGGATTTGCTTTAGCAACTAGATATTAATGGCAATTAAAAAAAACACCTTTGAAGATTATTTTAGTTTAGGTTGTTTTTTGTTTTTTTTTTAAAGTGTGGAAAATATAGACCTTTTTCACTAATCAAGCTCTGTATACATAAACTGTTGCCTAGTTTTTTACTAGATGGTTTGGGACTTCAATATAATTTTTACAGGCTGCTGTTTAATCTTGCTGGTTTGACCTCTGCTACTGCAACAAGAGAAATAAAAGCCACCTTCTTAAAAACCTGGGTGCCTGAATTGCCTTGTTTGTAAGTATGTTAATGTAAGATATCCTTACTATATTACGACAGAGGGCCTGCTAGTATTATTAGATCTGGCTGAGATGCAACGAAGTTGGACCTAAATCAGTCTTGCAGAGTCGGTGTCTGCCTTACTGTGCTCTGCAGCACTTTCTGTTACAGCGTTGAATGTAGGAAGGATCTCCTGTTGCTTACATTAATGGTGGGGTGTTTGTATGCAGAAATAAACTTGATTGGGGAGGTTGGATTTGATTTTTATTTTGCTCAAGTTAGTAATTTGCAAGCATGATACCAGTCTTAATTCTTATTTATAGCTTGTTTGTTGTATGGTAGTGAGAACAATTATTGTCACATGTATGACAGTGTTGGGAAATGAATGTGTTTACAATGCATGGAGTTAAAATAGTTGTATTTTTATTATAATTTCATAATATTTGTTTATGGTTAGTTTGAAAGCAGAAGGAGATGAGGGTCTACATTCACGCTCTAAGCTCTGCATGTGCAAAACTGCATGTTGGTTTTGGTGTTGCTGGTATGGGGAGTTACTAGAAACAGCCTGAAACTTAGAGCCGAACCAGCTGAGGACAGGATGTGGATGGGTAGTTGGGAGAGGGTGAGGGGATGAAGGGTGATGATGGTGAAGCAAGTGTTTTTGGTATTTAGTTACTGTATTTTACAGTAAAGCTAATTCTAGGTCAGATTCTGGTCCTGCGTTTTACAAAAGCTTCCTCTAGCTTATCTAAATTTGACCCAAGCCACTTGGAATACAAAGTCTCTGAGAAGCTTTTTTTCTAGTGTGCCTGAAACTGCTGAAATGTCACCGTATTTATTGATCTTCATCTAAAAAAAAAAAGTTGCTAGTTGCAATGCTGACATAAAAAGCCTGTCTTAGATCATGCATTTGGCTGGAGGCCAGATAATGGGTTTCTATAGGAGCTTGTTGGCAAGCTTAGGTTTTTGCTTAGGTTAATCTAATGTAACTGTAAGTAATCTGGGAGTCTGGTACACTCAAAACAATTTTTAGACAAAATGATCTCATTTTTTAAATTATAAGTGAGCAGATATTTTTATATAACAGCTTCTTGTACTTAAAGCACTTAGAAAATGCCTAGGAACATGATTCTTTACTATTTTCTCTTTTAATGGTCAACCTACTGAATAATACTTTAAAACTATTGAGGCTGATGACATCTCTTTCTGCTAGCCTCTGTTACAGAATTTAAGCTGACAGTGTTCAGTGGAGTGATCTGTTAGTGCTTTAAAGAAAGGTTTGCATTTTTAAAAGACCAGGTGGTAATACACGTAAGGGTAGGTACATCAGTTTTACTAGTAAAAAAAATACCGTAAATGGTTTATGGGTACATCTGTTGGCCAGGTTATTCTGTGACTAGGGCTGAAATGCATGAACCATCCTAGGAGGAGGCTGGAGTTTAGGACTTTGTGTTCCCAAACGGTGTCCAACCCAGGCAGTTACACCACTGGGCCTTTTCACCAGTCTCATGGGTCTTTCATTCTTCGTTGCCTGAAGGCAAAAGCTTGAAAAGAAGGGTTGGAGATTGCTCTGTCTCAAGATGTTTTTGTTGCCTCTCACTTCTTTTGTGTGATAAGTGAATGTGAATCCACTCTAAGAGGAAAACTGAATTCAGACCTTGAAACGTCCATTGAAGTGCTGCATATGCCAGGCTATAAAAAGAGGTCCAGATCCAGCCCTGGTCTCTGGGGAGCGGTGGATAAATGTGGCTTTAACAGGAGAACGCTGAGGACTCCTGATCCCACCCAGGACAGCAGTGCTCATCTGCAGCCTCTAGTTAACTGTTCCATCTGTAAGAGGGATGGAGAAGGCTTGGGGTGCATGCTTGTCCTCCATTGGTGTGGGCTGATGAGTGCCAACCAGAAAAGGTATAGGACTCTACCATCCTTATTATTTCTTCGTATAGCTGTATCATTAACAGTGACAGCATGGATGACGAACAAATGGGGTTTGGTTTACAACTGCTTTGCTGTAGGACTGACTTACATGGTATGTAAAACTGGTTGAACGTAGATGGAGATCTTTGAGATGGGAGGGAGCGTGATACAATTGTGCTGGTGCTTATCAGAGGTTTAAACTTCCCTGATAGCATTTGTTCTCTAGTTGCTATTAATAGTAGGGCCTAGAGATATTTCTGGATGTGATAGCTGACAAGTTTCTTCATCAAATAGTCAATGAATGAGCAAGAAGTGGTTCTATTTTAAACTTAGCTTTGACAAGTAATAGAACTTCAAAGAAAAGCTGTTCATAGAAAATAACCTTGGTGTGAGTTACCGCAAGTGGTTCTCTTTAAATGAAATATTAAACACAGGGCTGCAACTTTAAGCATCTCTGATAAAGGAAGAGTTTTGTGGTTTTTTTTTTTTTTCTTTTGCCAGCTGCAGTATAAGGGATTTGTATTAGTTTCAAACTTCTGTGTTTAGGTGAAGGGTGCTAATAAACCTTGGCAGAGGTGCAAACTAAGGCAGATTTTGAAGGGAATGATCTGGTTTGAACTTGGTGTGAATAGTCACTGCCAAAGTGTTAGGGTAAGCGGAGAATCTGCAGGGAAAGACAAAGAGCTCTGTTGAAAAGAGGTTTGTGTTAGGAGGTGAGAATTGCCTCAAGTGCAAAGGATGTGGGAGCTAGTAGCAAAAGGCTCTTCTTTCTTGCTCTCTTTATTTATACCTGAAGTGATGCATGTCTAGATCTGGCTTTTGCTTTTTCATCTCACACCAGTGCCTGGGATGATGTGCCATGAAGCTAAGCATGTTTTTTAATGAAGAGGAGGGCAATGTTAACCATGGGGAAAAAAGGATAGTAACAGGAACAAGTGCCTCAAAATAATTTTTTACCGCTGCAAAAGTCCATTTGGGAGAGCGTTGTGGCACTCTCCAAATGGAACGCTCTGAGCTGAGGGAACAGAGTTTGTAGGAGAGAAAATTGTGTCTGGTTTGTTATAAACTGCCAGCGTGGTAGCTTGCCGGAGTGGCAGGATCAAGGAACTAGCTTTTGTTTGTTTTGAGGGAGTTTGTGTTTTTTTTTTTTTTTTTTTTTTTTTTTTTTTTTTTTAAAAGATGGAGCTTGGGACCTTTTGGTACAGAGTGTGATACGTGTAGAGCATTGAATTGGAGCGATTCGGCAGGTCTCTTAAAGCAGAAATAATACAGTGCAGTGTCTTGGAAAGCTACCATTACAATGAGTTTACATACGTTAATTAAGCTTTCTTCTGTTGTCTTTTAAAAAGCAAAATGCTTCTCCCAGTACGATTTATGATTTATAATTTAAGTATTGCTCATGTCAAATACTGTCTCTGGAAGTGAAATGGTCTGGGCATTTCTCATTCCTCCAGATGCCGTGGCACCTGCACGTTCTGCAAAAATACTGGCTGTGCTGTTCCTCTTACAGTAAAGTTTTGGTCATGCTAGTTTTTTTTAAAAAAAAGTGAAATCATCACTAATACAGTGATTCTCCTTTGCATCTCAAAGGGAGTAATAGAAATCTAGCAAAGGGTATACAAGATTGTCAGTAGTGGTAATTTTAAGGATCTTGGCACTGCATTTGAATGTGGGTTATGGTTGATTTCAACAATCTCTAGTTTTTGGTGGGATATTCTGCATGGATCTGTCTGGTGGCTTTCTTCAGTAAACCCTTGGTACTTTCTGTTTTCTTAGCCTGAAGCAGTAGGGAGATACGATAGCCTTGCTGCTCTTTTGCTCCAGTTTTTCTGGAAATTTAAAGATTGGTTATGAAGCTTAGTGGATTTTCATGTCTTTTATTAGAAGTGTCAGCAAGTTGAAGAATGTGGACTTCCAGCTAAACTTTTTTGTTTGTTTGAAGTAACCTGTTAGGAACTGACTTCCTAATCTTTCTCTGGAGTGCAGGTTGTTAGCTTGTGCCCATTCTGACTTGCTTTAAAAATAGGTGTGAGAAAGAGGCCATAATAGTGTGGGAAGATGGTAAATCATCAACTACTGAAAAACAAACCATGCATCTGTTAACACTGTGGAAAAAAATGCCTGTTAAAAAGCTAAGCTGCAGCATGTTTTTCCTCCAGTGGCAGGAAGGCTCTTGAAAGATAGTTAGAAGTAGTTAGTGATTAGAATGCGTGTATTTAGGTTTATTGCAAGCTTTCTAAAGTACTCTTGATGTCTTGTTTCTTACAGAGACTCCAACCGTCATGTTAAGGTAAAGCAGAAAAGTGCAGTGCTGAACATGCTAAAGAAGTTGGACAAAATAAGGTTCAGAGGACACAAGAGAGACGAGTTCCTTGATTTAGCAGAGTCTCCAAATGCTTCAGACACTGAATGTGGAGATGAAATCCCAGTGAAAATACCTCGAACATCAACTCGAGACAATGAAGAGCTGAGAGACCCTGTAAGTACTTGATTTAAGTATCATTATATTATGTTATATAGTTGTCAGGCAGAAAAATAACAGAAATTAATAATTCTTTGTCCCTATATTTTGGATTTAACACTTGAAGATTTGTGGACTAGGAAGTAAGCTTCAAGTAATAGGTTTCCATTTTGTGGAAAGATCGAATAAATTTCTTAGTACTAGCGTTCCTTGTCCCTACTATTGATTTTAGATGTTGTGGGTTGACAGGTTTGTTAACCTTGGATGTGCTTCTGAATGCTGTCTGTTTTTTATTTATTTTGTTGAATTACTAACGAACAGATCTGAAGGAAAGACTTCTTTTCAGTCTGAGAAGCTCAGTTCTGCTCAAATGGCGCTGGCCAGGACTGTAGGGGTAAGACTTCTGGTGGCTTCATTGGAGTTAGAGGGTCACACTACCTTGTTCTTCACTGCAGTGTTGTATCCAATAATGCTTCCATGCTATAGAGCTGGTTTCAAACCTATGCAGGAGGTGAGCAAACTTTTTGGTGCTTTAAGCAGAAGCACTCAAACAGACCTACCCTTTTAAAAGACACTGTTTCAGGAAAACTTAAATATTGGTTAAAAAAAAAAATCCTGCTTTAACTGTTAAAAAATGGCTGTGGATCCTTGAGCTTGGAGTGCTACAATCTAAATTAAAATTTGTCCATTTAACTGTATTCTAGAATGTGACTTGGAAGTCAGAATTTGTACCACCCTATTTGGAAACTCACCATGCAATTTTTATCCCCAAAATGTGGTCAGGCTGTTGTCTGAAAGCTCATTTCTAGAAGCTCAGGGCTTGCTTACCTCAAGTGTTAAACTAAAAGACTTCAAACTGTATACGCTTAAGCATCTCCTTTAGGGTTGGCAGCTTGTATCCTGTTCTGTAGCTATTAGGTTTTTTAAATTTGAGTGGGCTTGTATGGTATCACATACAATCCTGCTTATATGGAGCTCTTTTGCCAGATTTTTTTTTCCTGTGGTCATGGAACAAACAAGTGGTAATAACAGAGTATCTTTCAGTCACAAAAAAGTCTATTGTATGCAAATCCTCAAGCTCCTCAGACAAGGAAGGTCTGTTGAATGCTTTCCTTTGCTCTTATTCTACTGAAGACATCTGTCATTTGTTAAGATGTATGTATTGTGTATACTGGGACTAATCTGTGCTGCTGCCCTTCCAACATGGTATTTTCTGAGTTTTTTGTAGGTAAATACTGGCTTATTTTCATTAAACTTAAGGCATTATATTTATGTGTGGAGAGCAGGGAATACCCTTTGTATCTAATCAGAAGGATCTGGATGGCAGAGCTAGAGGCTACAGACAGATCTGTCTTAAATCCTAGATACTATTTTCTGTATTTCTTCAGGAGGATAGTAGCTCCAGGTTGGTATGGCTGAGTGAATAGTGAGGTAAACCTACAGTTTTGACTAGTTATAAAGCTTTACGGCTACACAGTTGCAGTGACAGTCTCTGTTTTCTCAAATTGTTGAGCTCTGTGTGCTGAAAAGGTAATTTGAAGAGAAACACTTTGTTTTCTGGCTGATTACATACTGTTAAGTAGGCTGCTGTGATTTAAGTCCTTGGGATAGAGTTGAGTATAGTTCTTTAAAAACAGGGAGAAAGGGAGAGAGTAAGGCAGCAACAGCATCAGACTTGTTGTTTTGCCCTGCTCCTGATGTTAGGGAGCTCCAAACCCAGTGTGATCCTGGAACAGCATAGGAGCAGCAGCTGTGTTACAGTTAGGAGCAAAATAAGCAAACTTGTATGAGGAAGGAGGTCTGACGCATAAGGGATAAATTTCAGATGGGAAGTTTAGGGGATTAGCACTTGGCCCTCACAGACATCTGCCCACTAAGCGCTGCTGCCCATCCATGAAATGAAGGGAGAAGAAATAATCCCCTGTGCTGCAGAGGTGCCGGGAGTGAAGAAAGTAATGCTTCTGTATTTAAGTCAATATTAAAATGGTGGCTGAGATCGTGTGAACAGGGTGATTCTGAATTATGTCTCTGTTTCTTATTGAGATCACGATTGAATTGTGCCTGAATTACTTTTAATTCAGTGACTAAAACTCAAATCTTAAATTGCTTATACAGGCTCTGTAAGCAACTTAGTGTTATACTTTTATTACACTGATCATGAGAAGACCAAATCTTGTTGGTTTCTTCCTGTTTAATACCTTTGGGGAACTGTTGAAACCATACAAAAGTCAATGCAAGTCTTATGCAGCCTAACTCCAATTTATGCACGTCTTTTCAGATAGATGTGAGCTGTACTGTGCTTCCACTTCTGTTGCTTCACTGTTTCTGTTAAAATCTGAGTACAGAACTGATGGGCTTGAAAGAGCAAGATTGGTGTCTTGGAACCAATCCATGAGTGTAGGCATGCAAAATTTGAGTCCTGGTCCCCTTATCTGCATCTTCAATATGTAGATGTCTCTGACTCCACTGTCAGCCATTCCCTTGACAAAGGCTTCATCTCTGCCCCACTCTACTTCTTTTTCTCCCTGCCCCCCCCCCCCCCCGGCTGGGTGTTTCTTTTTCCCCCTCCCCCCCCCCCCCCCAGTCTGGTGTATTAATCATTATGGAGCCATTAAAGAAAGATCCCTGTCTATTAGAACAGTACAGCACAGTCATATGAATGAAAGGCCCTTCTGTACTGTGCCTCAAGGGTACGTAGTACAAATGTGCACATTAGGTGCCTCTTCTTTATGTATGTGTCTGAACTTGACAAGCATATGCAAAAACTTGCCACAAATGGAGGTTTTAGAGTAAAAAGCCTTGTCATAAAAGCTTGTGATTGCAGAGCCCTGACCGTCTGCAAAGAGGAGCATCCTCTGTTGCACACCTCCAACAAGTGAAGTGAACGTTCAGTCCCAGGCCACGGATACAGCAGTGGGACTTGGTCCCAACACTGAAACACAGAAAGGATGGCCAGATGAGGTCACTTACGTTCTTTATCTTAAAACTGAGCTTTACCTATTTAGTTCAATAATAAACATCCTAACTCATGTTTTGGGTAAAGCACACAGCTAGCTCCTGGTAGGAGAGCCCTGAGGTTGGAAGGATTTGTTATTTTCCTTTGAATTCTCTTCAGTGGTTTCTGAGACTTTTTGTTCAAAGGGTGTCTTACTCTTAATTTGAGCTAGTTTGGTCTTAACTTACAGGCTGGCTGTTTGCTTGCGTGGGTACTTTTCCCCCTCCCATTTAAGTGCCCTGACTACAAGGTATGTCTTGGATAGTAGGTACTTTCTTAGGTCTCTGTGGGTACTTGGACACTGTGATCAGATCATTGCCAAGGCAGCCGTGTTGGTTAACAAATTAACTCTTTGCTAAGCATCTTTTTCAGTTCCTGAATGGCTTCCCAGATTTCTTCCTCCCTTCCCTCTTTACCATAGGTGGTTGGCTGTTTTTTTAAAGCAAGGACATTCAGCACTATATACAGCACTGTTATTTCTGCATTGTTTTGTAAAAACACCACAATCATGAAATAGGTAGAGGGGGTAACCTGGTCCATTCCTATTTCCTATTAGTGAATGTATGAGCATTTGTCTCGTTGTGACATTGGAAATTCAGGTAATGTTGCTTGTTTGGTAATTAAAGTCCCCTTTATTCAGTGCCATCATGGTTTCCTATTCTGTAGATGCAACATGGGTTCCTTCCTGCTAGATCACAATTCTGCACCTAAAACAGCTTTAAAACATTGCTCCAGCAACTTGATTTGCTAAGATGCAAGTGTTCAGGGATGGGGACTGTGCCCTGAAAATCATAGATCGCCCTTGTATTTGCCAGTTCTGGCTTGATTTGCCATATTTTAACTTATGTCTCGTCATTTTGTGCTGTAGATGAATTTATGTACTCTTAATGTGACAAATGTCCCATTTTTATAAAAGGGAGAAAACATTCAGTACTACGTACAGGTATATGAATGAACTCAGTGCAGAGGAGGATCACGTCTCCTTCGGCAGAGGAGGGGAAAGAACAAATTTGTGTTTAAACCCATGGAGGTTCTGCACTAACCTGGCAGTGAGCACTGCAAATTGAAGCGCTCTCGTACCTGGCATATTGTACTGAAAGCAGTCTAATCTACTTATGCAAGTTCCCCGCCAGTGTGCTAGGATTAAATCTGAATTATTGTGGTACAGAAAACATTAATTTAATTGCTGTTCCAGTACAGTTTGGCTTTTCCTGTAACATGTTGATTAAAACCTTAAACACTTCTGTATCGGTCACCTCATTTACAATGATTGGAAGGTATAAAGCATGATGCTTGGAAGGTATAAAGCATGATGCAGACATTACAGTTAAGATATTAAAGTCTCTAAACCTGGCTAGCACTAGATTTTTTTTAAGTTTATGTAAAATATAGCTGTGTTTTAGGAGCTTGCCAATATGGGTATGCTTCCCAGAATTGCTACTAGGGATTCACACAGATGCTTTCGTTCTCGAGCGGTGTTGCTGAGTTTTCCCTTTCCTTACAGCAGGTAAATGTAGCAGCCGTGGGGAACCTTTTCGTAATTTGAAGTAAGAAAATGCACATGAAGTGTCAGTTGAGAAACTCGGGAGACTATGACTCTCTAGACAAGCTCTGTAGTTTGTTGTATTACTGAAGAATCATAGAAATGTTTAATGTTTACAGGGATGGGGCATCTACTACCTCTCTGGGCAACCTGTTCCAGTGTTTCACCCTCAGCGTAAAAAATTTCTTCCTTATATCTAGTCTGAATCTACCCTCCTTTTATTTTAAAACCATTACCCCTTGTCCTATTGCTACAGGCCCTACCTGACTTTTTTTTCCCCCTTTGCTGCTCAAATGAATGCAAGTTAAAATTTTGTATTTTAAACTACCTCTTTCCTGTGTTGTGTCCTGGCCACTGCCGGGCTGTGAGGAGTGACTTGGGTGGATGGTTATGCCCCTGGGCTTAGCACGCCGTGTCCTCGCTGCTCCCCATCCTCCATGTTTGAGAACTGCTCCTCTCTAAGTTAATTAAAGACTTGGAAATGAGACCAGCATTTTATTAGATTTTCCTAGAGAAAAATCATCCGCATATGATGTTGTGCAAGTAAAATAAAAGGAGGGAGTTCTGTGTGATGCTGAAGATGTGCTGTGCTGCAGATGGAGAGGACAGATCCGCATCTGCTCGGTTAAGAAGTGACTTAGACATTTTCTGTGGCTGTACAGGGAAGGTGGCGTCAGTGCTCAGTGCACAAAACAAAATCCTAGGGCTTGCAGGATGAAGGGGGTTTGGAGAGGGAAGGGAGGGAAGGCAGAGAGCTCTCAGGTTGGGAGGTGCTGTTATGAAAAGCCTGAACTGCAGATGGCTTGAAAAACACATTTGTGGGTAGGTGTGGTTTTTCAGATCCGGAGCTGGATGTGGCTTGGAGCAGCAACTCTGAACTCTGATAGTGGGTTAGAGGCAATCTCTCATCAGAAATCTTCCTTTAACCCCTCTGGCTCTTGACTCTCCGTGCTCAACTCTGGCATTTTCCTGGCTTCCTAGGCACCGCCAAGCCTCGTGCGTGGTCTTTGCTAAGTAACAGTGATTTTTAAGAGGGCTCCTGTGTCAAATAGTGTCAAAGCTAGAGAGGCAGAAGGAGAAGCAGAAATCTGTGGAAGCCTTCAAGACTTTTACTGTGAGTCAGAAGCAAGAAGGGGCATCTGTAGTTAAGTGAAGTGTAGTTAATCCAGCCCGAGTCCCAGCACTAGCCTGCAGAGGAAGTGGAAGAAACATTACGCAGTTAATGCTGGAATTAATACAAGATAATTTTTTTGTTAACTTGTGAGTTGAGTCAGTTATGCTAACTTCAGACAGAGGTACTTTCTGAATTCAGAGGCAGGCAGTTGACCTCCAGCAAATGTATAGACTTTATTTCTTATATTTTTAGCCCATTAACACCTCTTGACACAACGAGGTGTGTTGGTGTGGGGAAGAATCTTCTGGGACAAAAGAAGTATCTGCTTAAATGTCTCCCATATCACTGGACATGCTCGGTTTTCTGAACGCTTCTAACTTGTATTCATTAATACATTATGATGTCACTAATTTTGGAAATTGCATGCTTTATTTTCCACCAAACTTGTATCACTGTATCTTACTATTCTGGTTAAACCATTTTATTATTACATGATAATTGCATGATTTTGCTCTTAGTATTCTTAGCAAGCAGCCTTATGTTTTAACTTAGTGGATGGGTTTTTATTTTTCTCTAACTCAAAAGGTGGTTGTAACCTTTTGGGGTTAGTTTAATGATGTGTACCTGCTGCGTCCAATGCCTTAGCAGATACACACATTTGGAAACTTTCAGAAAGAGTTCTGTTCACCCATATCACTCAGTCCTCAGTCCTAGGCATCTTTTGCTTTTTCCTGCTTCCTAAGAGGCACAGTCAAGGTATCCTGGGCTTTAATTAATGACTTAACATCTCTGAAGAAGCAAAAGTGGAGCTGGTTCTCTAGATGGATTTCTGAAATGGAGCTCATCTCTTAGTGAGATACCTTGAGTATCTTCAAGGAGGATGAAAACTTGAATATGCTTAGATATTTGCTAGCCCCTTTCTTCTTCCTCTCCTTCTTCACCTCAGTCTCTGTGTTCTTGTCCCCACCGCAGCACGTGGGGTTGGGAACCAGGGACTGGTTGGGCTGGTCTTGGGTTGAGGCCAGTTCGTCACACGTTGTCTCCTCTCTCCACGGGTCCACAGCTCCTGCCAGGAGCCTGCTCCAGCGTGGGCTTCCCATGGTATCACAGCCTCCTTCGGGCACATCCACCTGCTCTGGCGGGGGGTCCTCCATGGGCTGCAGGTGGATATCTGCTCCACCGTGGACCTCCATGTGCTGCAGGGGGACAGCCTGCCTCACCATGGTCTTCACCGCAGGGGGCAGGGGAATGTCTGTTCCGACGCCTGGAGCACCTCCTCCCCCTCCTTCTGCTTGGTGTCTGCAGAGTCGTTTCTCTCACATATTCTCACTCCTCTCTCTGGCTGCAATTGCTGTTGCACAGCAACTTTTCCCCTTCTTAAATATGTTATCCCAGAGGCGCTACCACCGTCGCTGATGGTCTTGGCCTTGGCCAGTGGCGGGTCTGTCTTCGAGCCATCTGGCATTGGCTGTATCGCACATGGGGGAAGCTTCTAGCAGCTTCTCACAGAAGCCACCCCCATGGCCCCCCTGCTACTAAAACCTTGCCATGCAAACCCAATACATGCACAGAGCCCGGGACCATTCCTGGTGAGCATAGCAGCTTGCTTTTTGACCTGTACGTGATTTTATTTATTTATCTATTTATTTATTTTTAAGCAGTGGCACTGTTTCTTTAGACAGCTCTGTTGAACTCCTGCATGCTAAGAGCAGAGATTGTCCCTTTGTACCAGATATGGACATACAATATAGAAAGCCATGCTTTAATGCCTGGGCAGCAATCTGTATTTTAATAACGCTTTCCTTTTGCCTGTCTGTAGAGCATGTTGTAAGGGTGCTGTTGTTTGACTTCAGCCACACCTTCTTCCTTGGGGCTCTCCAAGTGTCTGGGAAGTGATAACACTAAATCTTCTGGTGTAAATAAATATAACCTAGCTCTATAGATAAGAAATCAGCAGAGAGGTTAATTGCCATCCCATAGTCCTCTGAAAACAGACAGCTGTTACTCTTCAGCAGTGGCTGGAGTGGTTGCAAATGGCATGTCTTACTGCACCTCTCTGGCTAAAGGCAGGTGTGAACGGGAAATCTGGAGCATGGGGAGGAGGATGCTGTGGTGCAGCTCCCCGTGTGAGGACTGCCCTGGGATCTGTCTCTGCTATGGCATGGTTCATGCTGGCTCCAAAATGGGAAGCAGCACAGGGCTGCTGCTGAGCTAATGGCTTCTGATCCTCATCGGGGCCAGCAGCGTTGGCAGAGTGCTGTGTGGGTGTAACTGTGCTGCTTTCAGGACTGGAAATAGCATCTCTGCCTGGCACTGTATTGAGCAAGCCCAGGTGGGGAGTTGGTACCAGGTAAATGCCATGCAGTAAATGCCTACAGAGTGCTAATTTGCCTGTATAGACAAATTCTGAGGCTTAAACTCAGCATCTGTTCAGCTCAAGCAAGAAAGCAGATGTTTAATAGGTATCTCCACACTGTTTTATTTTAAAAGTGCAAATCATTCCCAACAGGGAAAGTACTTTGCTGTCTGTGAGCTGTCGGTACATCTTTCCTAAACCACAGAAAATGTCTTTTAATTAACTCTCTTGTAAATTAGTTGAATTTATATATATATATATATATGTAATTTAAGCTGTCATGGTTAAATGTATGCAAGCTGACTTTTGAAAGCAATACAGCTCCTGTATGTTTTCAGAGCTCAAACAAGGGGTAGGGGAATGGTTATGATAGGTAAATAAATCCCTTTTTGTCTTAAGATCATGTCTTAGGTGTAGGCTTCTGTAATCTAGCACCAGTTTTGAGTATAAGCTGTTGGAGAAGCTCCTATAATTCTCATTGGCAGACTTCTTGTACGTGGTGGGGACTGCACACAGTGCCTGAACAACCATTACCTGGGAGATGCCCTCACCCAGTCTTTCTCTTGCTGTCTGAAAATGTCCACTTTATGGGAGGAGGACAGTATCACTTGGCTTCTGCTGTGTGGGCTTGGGGTTTTTCTGTGCTCCCTTCGTGGAGGTGGCAGTTGTCACTGCTCTTCTTAACTAATCAAGTCGCTCTTTAATTCTTGTGTTCTGCAGTATTTCTAGTGCCGAGTTCATTTGAGGGGTGCTGGTAAATCAGTCGAGACACATAATCTCCTGACTCCCCCCTCTCCTGGCCTGCCAGGATGAGCTTCTGGGCCCCAACCACATCCTTCAGCAGTAACTGGGCAGTACTGGAGGTGGGAGAGCAGCGGTCCCCTGCACTGATCTTCCTTGCAGAGAGACCACGCTCTTCAGAATTACACATCCATAAATGGATATTAAAATATACAATACGTGTTTTCTAATAACTTGGTGAGTATCTGGAAAAGTATCACTTTTGCTAGCTTCACAATTTTATATGTAAAGTATGTTGCATTGACCATTCATTGAATGGGAAGAGGAGAGGGATAGTATAAATATGTCTTTTAAATCAGCAGAAGAAAGGCTAAATGATGATGCAGCAGAACTGGTAAGGGGGAGAAAAAAAATGTGTTTTCTGTAACTCCCTCAGGTCTGCAGAAGTGCATTTTGTAAACTCACCTGGGAGAGATGCTGTGTATTTGATTAGCTTTCACTCATTTTGGTAGTTTAATGCTGAATAAGTATGTATGCAGTGTTGTTGATAGTTGGACATTTCTCACGTGGCTGTTTCTCTACTGCCCCAGAAGTAAGTTGATGTATTTAAATGACAAAAAATATGTGCCTCTGAGCTGTCAGTGTGTTCTGGCTTTCTTATAGGCTGGTCCAGGGACCATCGTCATGGCTTCAGGAGTCCAGGATTTTAACAGAACGGAATCCGACAGACTGAATGAGATCAAAGGTCACCTGGAAATAGCCTTACTGGAAAAACACTTTTTACGTAAGTATAAAATTAATGCTCTGTGGAAAGGAATGGCTTAAGCCTGCTGAAATAAGGCTTCTCTAAACTGCAGAAGTTGGCATCAGAATTTTGAGGTGGGCTGATGCGCGGATAGCACGTGGACTGACACTTCTCTAGGAGGAACTTAAAAGCATTCCCAAGTTTTCTGGGTCACTTGGATATTTTTTTCCTCGTTGCATTCCTCAGAACATACCTCACTACATGACAAAAGCTGCTTAGTTGAAGTCTTGGTGTTGACATCTTCAGGTTATCTTAGAATTAACTCAGCCTTAACGTGGTTGCAATAGATGGTTTTTGTCTAGTAATAATTGTAAGAAGGAAGAGATTTCTGAAGGGGCGACCAATGCATTTCCTTGGCAACTGTTTCAACAAGTAATAAGTCTTAAAACACGTCTCTTAACAGTATATGAATTACTGGTAAGTGATACAAGAAATACAGATAAGAGTATCTGTAGATTTCAAGTGTTACTTGTTTGGTTTTGTGTGTGTGTGTATACGTATATATGAGACAAAATTGTCATTCATGGCTAGAGACACCCCTAAGACTTCTGGGGTTTTATCTCAGCAGATCTGAGCTGCTGACTTGTAAGACAGGATAGTTAAAACCGAAAAAATTGGAGACAAACATTCCTTTAACTTGGTAGAAATAGAGATCTCTGTAATAAATCAACAAGAATTCTTGCTCCGTTTCTTCCCAAAATGGTCATTTTAATGGATTATTTTTGAACTTCAAAATATGAGGGTTGTTTTTATGTGTTCGAAGCTTGTCGGGTATTTTCTAAGGAGTAGAAATAACAACAAGGCTATAGATTCTATTCAATTTCTAGATTATAATCTAACAACAAGACTTGTGTTTTATATTCAGCGTATTCTCAAGGATTTGGAGTTAATTTTCTGTGACTTTTTTATCATTTGGCAAGATTTCTTTGGTATTTTTTTCCTTGTGTGTGAGAAGGAGGCATGATAAAGGAGACTGGGCAACAATTTATAGCGACCTGCTATCAGCTTCCAGTGGTATCTGGAAGAGGTACCATGATTGGATAATCAAGCAAAAGCTGAAAGCTCTGTTTGACTTGCCGTGTTGGTTTCAGTGATTTATTTGAATTCTTATTTAACTGTGCAGTACAGAGTTACCATGTACTCCCTCCATCCTCAAAGACATATTGCTTAAGGTCCTGTTATCGAATTGTTTTTTAAACTAGATGGGACGTTTGTGATTTCCTGATGTAGTCTGATGTGTAACAGAAACAGTAGGACTTCCCAGAACCGATTTCTGGTTTGAACTAGGACATGCTTTTTGCTATAAAAACATGGTATGGTTCCCAAACACTTCCATAGCTCAGTCCTTAGTATGTGGTGACAGTAACTAACTGTTAGTTACTAGTTAGTTACTAGTGACAGTAACTAACTGGGGGGGAGAATCGGAAGAAATAAAGTAAGAAAACTCGTGGGTTGAGATAAGAACAGTTTAGTACTTGAAATAATACAATAATAATAATAAATTGTAATGGAAAGTAAAAAAACGAGCGAGAGAAAAAACAAAAAAAAAACCAGGGAAAGAAAAAAAACCGATGAAGCTGCTCACGACCCCAAGA